CCCCCTGTACACGGAGACCCCGGCCCAGTCTCCTCTATATCCTGGTATCTGTCTCTCTGATACCGGTCACTAGGACTCTTCCTCAGCTGTATCTCTGCCTCTCGTTGCCCCCTATCCCTTGTATTGCCCCAACAAAAAGGCCCCACTCAGCTGTACCATGATGGACTGGCCCAACTATGGTCCCCCCTGGAAAGCAGGGGCCACTCTGGTTCCCCCAAGATAGAGAGACCCTGCTCTGGTGCCTGGAGCAGAAGAACGAGGTCTCAGTCTGGTTACTCCCCAATGGACATGCCTTCCCCACAAGGAAGATAGACCACACTCTGCCCCCCGGGAAGACAGGCCTCCATCTGGTTGGGCCACACTATGATTCCCCACAGAAGATAAGCCTGGCTCTAGTCCCTACCGAGGAGGATAGACTGCACTCGGGTCCCCCTAAGAAAGTCAAGCCCTACTCTGGTGGCCCCCAAACAGATCTTCAGCCTAGTTACTTCCCAATGGACAGGTGCCCCTCTGGTCCCCCCAGAACACAGGGCCCACTCCAGTTCCCCCCAAGGAAGAGGGGGCCCATTTTGGTCTCTCTGGAGACATCACTCAGTCTGGTTGTACCCCCAATGGGCGGACCCCATTCTGATTGGTTGATTGTCCTCCTCTGTACATATTACATTGGATAGATTGGTAAACATCACATTATTATTCGGCATCCCCCTTCCCAGCCCTGAATATAGGAAAGCTGCTCTGGGCCCCATGTGGGGAACATTCTGGGTTTGTCATACCTTCAGACGGGCCGGTCCGGTAGACTGGCATTGGGAGAGGAACCGTTAACTGCACAACAATTCTTATTGATCTGATCGGTTCAGGCAGGACTCCTGTATATCCCCCCTAAAAAACCGGGGTTCCCCTTTAAGGTGACCTCTGACACTTCTTCCTTCTTACAGCATGAAAGATTTCCTGCCGAAAGAATACATCAAACAGAAAGGAGAACGCAGAATCTTCCTGGTGAGTGGGCGGAGCTTGTGTTGGGGTCTCGGTATGTAGCGGGACGTGTGTATATCATGTAATAGCTAGCTTGAGGATATTGTATGTCAGTATGACACGGGTATGTTCCAGTATACCGATCTGTGTATAATACATGCTCATAGAGGGGTATGGGGGGGGAGGGGGGTGCGCAGTCCTCGTTCAGCACTGCCGGCATCTCATACGCTTGCTGAGCCGTCTCTTGTGAAGGGAATCCGGAGAATGTTATCACGTTGGTAACATGGAAGACTCCACAAACGTTCCACCAATTCATCGCCCTCATGGCCCATTTATGTCTCACACACTATACAAAGGCCGCAGGTAATCCCAGGACCGGAGCTCTGTATGAGGTCACCTGACCGTATGGTACTATCCATGCAAGATCCTGTATAAGGTTATCTGGCCCTATGATAATATCCGTTTAGGGTTGGGGGGGTGTAGGGCTAGAACGTTAGGGTTGGGGGGGTGTAGGGC